TGTATTCGGAGTCACTAAGAGAGTCCTCAGTTTTCGTCTTTATAATTTAGATGTCTTGACACAGTGTTATTCCCAACTGTTTGTAGTAATTTTTCTGATGCCCCTAAAATAAGCGGGTTTTATCAACCGTAGATACATGAAGCCTAGCTGGGGTGTTATAGCGTTGCCTCTGGGCTTAGTTCGATAAAAAACTTGTTTTCCAGCAAAGTAAATCATGTCTCCTAACTGAAATGTGAGAGACTGGACTGAGTAGAACTCTGAATAAATCAATTTGTTCTTCTATTATTATTATTATTTTTTTTTGCTGAGGAAGACTGGCTCTGAGCTAACATCTATTGCCAATCCTCCTCCTTTTTTTTTCCCCCAAAGCCCCAGTAGATAGTTGTATGTCATAGTTGCACATCCTTCCAGTTGCTGTATGTGGGACGCGGCCACAGCATGGGCAGAGAAGCGGTGTGTCGGTGCGCGCCCGGGATCTGAACCTGGGCCACCAGTAGCGGAGCGTGCGCACTTAACCGCTAAGCCATGGGGCCGGCCCAGTTCTTCTATTATTTTTAAAAACACATGAGCTTTGGACATCAGATTCCTGATCTGACCCTTAAGAGGTGAATTTGGTTATAAAGGAATGACGGTTGTTTTACAGCACATCTGACCAAAGTTTAGATAGTATAATGCTCTTAATATAGTTATATAACCAGGCCATGTAAGGCTTCTCGCAACAGCCGAAAAGCTCCACTCTTCCTTTCATTCTTTTCCCAGTCTTGCTTTCAATTACTGGTTTCTCAAAATCATTCAGGAAACCATCGAGGACCATTAACAGGATATTGGAAGGTCCAGAGCGACTCCCAAGGTCAGGAAGATGCTCTGGCTCTACTGAGGACCTGGGAAAGAGCAGGCAGATCACTGCCACTGAGCTGGCTTTGGATGATTCCCTTCTCACAGGATAATGCGTAATAGTCTGTCTTTAGGTCTCTGTGTTTCCTGTGGTAGTATCTTCTGCCCAGGTAGAGTCTCTTCGCAAAATCCTACCTTGTCATCTTTTAATAGTTATGATGAGCTGTTAGAACCACTTGCATAATAGTCAGGTTATAGCTTATTTTCAGAAAAATAGTTTAGCTATCCTCATTATCATCAAACAGAATTAATTAATTGCTCAGATGCTCATAATAAGGTGCAGGGCAGCTTGCCTTTTGTTATTCAGAAATTATTTTTATTTACTTTTTATTCTCTTTTAGTGTGTTAAGGATATTCTCTTTATAGTCTCTCATAATTCCTTAAGTGAGACAGAGCTATTTACATTTCTTCTAATTCTTATACATATAAAATAAAATAATGCTTTTCTGTGATTGTTTAACATTATTTCCTATACTTATGTTCATCTTTATATCACATTTGATTAGTGTTGTCTAATTTTTCCATGAAGCTTCATTTAGTCATTCATACACATTTCTTATCAGCCATGTTTCTAGTTACTGGAATGCTTGAGTGTACAAAGCAGACAAAAATCCCCACCTTCAAGAAGCTTACATTATTTTCAAGGTGTTGCAACGTTAGGCAATCTTTTAAAATAAAAATCCCCGTCTTATAAGACCAACCTATTTGGCCCTTTCATCCATACGTCAAAGTCATAGCTAGCATTTAGAAATAACATTTATGAACCATTTATTGTGTCTGGCAATGTGCTAATCGCTTTACATGTAGCTCACTTAATCCTCACACTAAAACTGTAGAAGGAGGTCCTATTATGATCCATAGTTTACAGACGAGGAAATGGAGGGTCAGCGAGATTGGTTAAGGGGAAGATACAAGATTAGATTCTCCTTGGCTCATTACAACCATTTCCTATTCTAGATGATGCTTTACACACATCTGATGAATGAATGAATGAACCCATGTATTTTTGGAATTTACATTCAGCTTGGCCTAAACACCAAAAGCTTGTATTACTCTGTAACAATCTAGGCATTTTGTGGGAGATGAGAGGGTGGGAAGGATGATAGAAAATGAATGTTTTTTTGAGAGCGTTTAGGTGGATGATCTTGTAGGTGTTTGGTTATTAGTAGAGTGCAGTTGCCTTAACAAGTGAGAAAGGCACCCACAGACACCAATTCCTCCGCTTTGGGGCCTCAAACCGAGCTGCCTCTGGGATTCAAGCTCATCAGTAGAGGGTTGGAGGAGAGTTCCCTCAGAGTCCCACGAATCGGAGGAGACTTGTGCAGGGTACTGGCTGCCCTAAATGTGATGTGAAACCCCGGCAGCCAGAGCCCAGAGAAGGGAGAAACCAGGGCACCTGCCTGGGTAGTTGGCGCCTGTAAAACTATATAGGATTTGGAAAGATGGAAGGCAGCCTCGTACGGGGGTAAAACCGTGCAAAGCCGTGGGAGGGGAAAGGAATCACTGCCCTTCCCTGGCCCCTCACTCCACGACCCCAGGATTCCAGTATCATCCTACACGGTTCCCACAAAGCTCCTCCCATTCTTCATCCTCATGCCCGCCCCCGGGTGTGCGCATGCGCAGAGAGACTCCCCGCTGCCGTTGGAGACCGCGGGGCATCGATCGACTCCGTGCTCGGCTTCTCGACTTGTCGGCGCTCGATTGAGGCGCGTGGCAGCCTTACTTCCGGTATCTGGCTCCGTTACCGGCTTTGGCTTCTTAGGCACACGGTGTAGGCCTCAGGTGAGTTGGGGTGCGTTTTACCTCGCTGTTTCCGTTTTTCGGGTTGCCGGTTGTCGCTCGGCCCGACGCTCTCCGGGGGGAGCTGGAGTGGACGAGGCCGGACGGTGGGGCCGGCACGCGTCCGGCCCGGAGTTCCCGGAGGGCTCGGCTAGGGGACAAGGGAGTGCGGGAGACCGACGCGCCGCTCCGGCGGGGCCCGCGAACTTAGGAGCCTTTCTCAGGTGGGACGGGCTGGGGCCGGGGGTCGCGTGGCCTCTTCCTCGTGCTTCGGGCCGCGGCTTGGGAGAGCCTGTCTGTGTCTAGAGAGGCGGGAGGCTCGCGCGTACGGCGTGGAGGATCGCTGATGTCCCTTCGCTTGCGCGAGGCGTTTACAGCTCGCTGTGCGCTGTCGCGGGCCTTCCAGAGGCTCCCTTTGCGGCTGGGAGGCGACTCCCGGAGCCCCTGCGCTAGCAGGCCACCACCAAACCTCGCACGAAATATTAGTCTACGAGCCTCCTCTCTGGTCTCTCTGCCGTTAGTTTGAGCTCTCTGTCACTTCCCTTGTCGTCTCCACGACCCAGTCCTCCAGGTTCCAGGTTCGGGGGTCGCAAGTCTGAGAAGCTTGCTTTTCACCTCTTAACCCGCACAAGTACGGTCTCTGTCCGTGGGCTCTTCCCTTGTCAGTCATCCTGTACTGTTCACATCCAGTGCGTGTAAATATTTGTGAAATAAAGGAATATGTGGGGCACCCAAGGAAATAAAGCAGGGTCACAATTTGCAGCTAAAAACAATGTGAAAAGTGAAGTAGTGAGGTGAGTGTGAAAGGAAACTGCAAGAGACTAGAAGTCAGGGGCTGAATTCCCAGGCCTGCTGCCTATTAGCTTTGTGACCTTAAGCAGATCCCTTACAGCCATTAGTAACAGCTACTGTGAGTGCTTACTGCCCACGCAGGAACTGGGCTAGAACTTGATCTCCTTTAGTCTTCCGAGTCCTATTGGGTAAATGCTGTTACCATCCCCATTTTACAGGTGTGGACCTGAGAGATTGAGGAACTTGCCCTCAGTGAAGCAGCTAGTAAGAAGCATAGGCAGGATGTGAATTCAGATCTGGCTGGTACTAGAATCTGAGCTCTTGAGCATCATGCAATACTGCTCTCTCTGAGCTCCATTCTTTCAAGTTGGTTAGAGTTAACGTTGGAGTCAGAACAGCTGCTGATGGTGTTTATAAACTAATTGGTATGAAAGTGCTTTTTAAGTGTACCGGTGAAGTAGTGTGTGGCAGACTTCATTAATGTTCTATCCTAATGATTTTTACTGGGCATACATTTGCTAGTTTCTTCCACTCTTCTTAAAATCTACTCAATTTTAAAATAATTTCATTAGGCAGATGGAAAAACAGTATCACTTGTCACAAGTGAAAGATAAGTATAAAAATAAACGTATTGAATGAAATAATGTTAGTAAAATCTGGCTGGGTACTGGTGCTCCACCAAGTTTTTTTTTATTGTGAAATTTTTGTTGTACATTATTGTTTATCAGTCACCATATAAGTGCATCCCTCCACCCCTTGTGCCCACCCCCCACCCCCCAGCCCCTGGTAACCACCAAACAGTTCTATCTGTGTGTGTGTTGGTTTATATTCCACATATGAGTGAAATCATGCACTGTTTGTCTTTCTCTTTGTAATACCCTCCAGGTCCATCCATGTTGTTGCAAATGGGATGATTTTGTCTTTTTTTATGGCTGAGTAGTATTCCGTTGTGTATATATACCACATCTTCTTTATCCAATCATCAGTCGAGGGACACTTGGGTTGCTTCCATGTCTTGGCTATAGTGACTAATGCTGTGATGAACATAGGGGTGCATAAGCCTCTTTGGATTGTTGATTTCAG